TTTACATGGGTGGTGGCTGCCTCAGAATACTCCTCTTATAAGGGATTGTAGTTAAACCATGGAACTGGTGTCTTCTGGGTGCCTGACAATGAGTTTATTACCTTGAATCTTTAGCCTGTGCTTCATATGATTTCTAATAAGATCCAGAGAAATGTAATATACACACTATCTATATTAGGTGTATTTGGGCAGCAATTTTTAATTTATGCACATTTGATTAAAAACCAATGAAAAACTATTATTGCTTGAAGCATTGAACATAAAAACAAACAACCATAGATCAACAAAATTACATCAAACCTTGGAGCCAAAAAAAAATTAATAGTAAGCACAAACTCTCACATGAATACAAGAAATAGGCTGAATTAGGAGGAGAAAGGTGAGTCTTGAAGATGACATGTAAAATGTGATATTTAAAAAAAAATAATGACATTGTTAGAAAAAGGTACGTCTGTTTGGAATATCAGTTGTACAAAGTCTTTTTACAATCACAATCAGTGAGACTATATTGCAAAACTCCACAAATGATGCACAACCTCCAGACTCGTCGGCTTCTGCTGCACCCCCTCTTTTATGTTCTTTTCATTTTATTGAGTAGCTGAGGCTTGGAAATTTGTCTTACAAAATCTCTGAGCTATCAGATCAGCTTCTTCTCAAATTGTAGCTGTTGGATCAGCCATGTTTTCTTTCAAGTGTCTTGCACATAAGATATGTATGAGCGCGTTTTGTTCCAGTAGGTGAGCTGTTTCTCTTCTATAGACATAATAAAAAAAAAAAATGGCTATGTTAAGCAAAAGTTCTTAGACATGGGAATTTTTATTTATAAATATAAACCAGAAATAAAAAAAAAAAAAAATGGCTAGCAGCAATGAAAAAGTCAATAAATAATAAACAAGAAGGAACTTATATTGGTTTTTGATCAAACATGCATATATACTGGGTGTAACAGCAAAATTGTCCAAATCATGTAACAGCAAAATTGTCCAATTGTTCAATTAAACTTTGATCTGTTGTATTTTAGAAATGATTTAAGATATCTTAAGGGAATTCTTTGAGGTTTTTATAATGCTATTGGATTCTACTTTGAGCAAGAAGAATGTGTTACTCTAACAGAAGAATCCTGAGGAAATCAATCATAAATGAAAATGAAATGTTAATCATTAATTAACCATAGCTAAGGATTGGAAGCTCATGAAGTATTGAAATAAAGTTCAAATATATATATATATATATATACACATATATATATATTTTATTCCAGGATCATTTTCCAACTTATTCAAGATTATCTTCGTCCTCTCTAAGCTTCTAACTTTCTGTCCTGGTGTAACAAGTTGCCTCACACGTTTCACTCATGATTTCATTTTCAAGTCTTTTTTCACTACTCTTTGGACTGTCATAGTTGAAATTCCTTTCTCATATGCTAAACGTTTTATGGATTGAGTTGGATCTTTTCTAATTGATCTCTTTAGCTTTAAGTTGAAATAATGATCCCTCTTCCTGTTGTAACCTCCTGACCCAATTTTCTTCTCCAATGTTCTCTCTTTTTTAAACCAATTCACCATTCTCTTGATGGTTCTTGAATGGATTTTGAAGATGGAAGTCAGATTATGAATGTTGGTACCATTACTGAAGGCCTGAATGATTTTTCCTCTCACCATAACACATTTGGAAATACAGTGAGACAAAATGATTTTAACCTGTTCTCTTTCTTGCTAAATAACTCAAAGGGTTTTTCAGTGAGTCTTATGACAAATGATGTCAAGATGCCTCAACATCTTATCAGAAAACCTTTTAAAAAATCAATTAGTTCAGTGGCTTTTTAGATATTAAACATTCATGCAGACATGGTTGTTACATTAGAGTATGATGTTCTTGTTTTATTAACAGTGCAAAAGTAGATAGCTGAATTTAAGAGGGGAAGGGAGAGTCTTCAAGATAACCCAAGGTTTGAATGTCCTGTGACTGCCACCACCAAAGAAAACATTGATCATGTTCACCAAATGGTGATGGATGACAGTTGATTAATTATAAATCAAATAGACAATGTTATTAACATATTCTGTGAGAGAGTGGAGAATATTTTGCACATTGAACTTAGCAGGAAGGAAGGTTTCTGATCGGTAGGTGCCACATCTTTTGGCACCTTATCAAAAGCCCACCAGACTGATTACATTACAGGAAACTTTGACATTGTTTGAGGTGGATCCAGATAGTTTCCTTTAACTTTTCCTAACACAGGATGAGTGTTGAGTTCATCACTTTTAGGTAGAGACAAAGAGTCAATCCATGAAATGGAAAAAACCCTCATCACCTGTTCCAAAAAAGGCCAAGGTCATTTAATCTGCAGGAAAGGTGATGGCCTCAGTTTTTGTGATGCAAAAGGCATTTTGTTTATTAACTAACTTCAAAAGTACCACACCACTTATAGAGAGTATTAGGCCAAATTGTTGAGGCAGTTACAAAATACTGTCAAGACCAAATACCCAGAAAAACAGACGAAAGTAATCTTTTTTCATTAGAAGAATGCTCCAACATAAGTCCTTGGCATGACTGTGGCTATGAATTGGTTCATCATCTGCCCTATTTTCCTGATTTGGCCTTATCTGACTATCATCTGTTCTCCAACATGAAAAAACACTTAACTAGAAACTAGTATCTTAGTGATGATGATGTCATATCTATTGTTGATGACTTTTTTGATCAGCAATATGAAACCTTCTTCACAAATAGAATCCAAGCAATGCAACACTGATGGAAGAACTGTGTGGACCATGTGGGGGACTATGTTGAAAAATAAACCTCATTTGGTCAAATTCCACAAGAGTATCTTGGTCAGACTATAAAATTTTCAGTAGACTCTCATATATATTAAATAATGAGTGCTGGTAGTAATAATAAAATTCGTCATCTCAGAAACGATGGAAACATTGTGATTTTAACAAGCAACTCATCCATGTCAATCAGTGAATCATAATGATAATTAAATAAAAGTGTTTCATTCAAATCTCTGAAGATAACTAAATTCCATATATATTTTCAGACAAGTGCTCACCTGATGTAATCAAAACTTTATATATATATATATATATATATATATATATATATATATATATATATATAGTAACTGGTCTAAAGATTAAATACTTTCCAAATCTCTGAATTTTTTCTTGTTCCTAACTTTATCCATTTATTAATATATAAAGGGTGTATTCAATTTTATTCCCTTTATTAATATATAAAGGGTGTATTCAATTGATCCTTTTATTAATATATAAAGGGTGTATTCAGTTTTTACTCACATGAAAACATTTTGGATTTCTGGTTTAAATATCTATAGTGAGGTTCAGATCCCCAAAATCATAAGTCTTAGGTTATTATTCCAAGGGCCAAAAATCAATCTTGAAACTTTAATGTCAGTATATGTGAGGGGGGGGGGTAAATCACAAGGGTAAAAAAATTCCCATCATAACTCACAACACACCTCTTCACCCATGAAGAACTAAAAAACTGATTTTGTGGTCCAAAGTAGTGTTCTTTTATTGGTGTAAGAAAGTTTGTGATTGATCAAGATTGATAGGGAAGGGCAAACAGTTACCATAATTGTTGACCCAATCTTGATTCAGATTTTCTTTAATGACAGCATAAAGAACACAAATTCTTTTCCAAGATAAGATGTAGTTTTTTCCTTTGTTGCCACAATTTTGAAACAGGAAATCTTTTCCTATTAATTCTGAAGTTAAGCTTTATCTTTCTGCATTATTAATATCACTTCCCTTTCCACTGCATTCTTTTTCAACATCTCTCAATTGCAATATCCTTATTAATTTCACTCAAAGTTGTTTTCTGTTGCCATAGCTGGATATGACAACACAACTATGAAATTCAAACAAACTGTTGTTCAGTGATCAGAGTTACCTTCAGTGGCAGGATAAATTCTTTTTGCAGCAAACAAAATCATATACAGAGTGATAAAGGTTAAATGTTTAGAGTTTACCTGTTGAATTTTAGATGTCTGTTATCATTAAGTGTGAAATTAAATTATAATATTGGAGTGATGGAATCAGTTGTCAGTCTTGGAGAGACTATGGGGTCTGCTAGGTTGGAGGGCTAATTCTTGTTGCAGATGACTTCCCAGACACATTTGTGTTTCTCCAATACCCAGAGAGCTAACATCTAGTTTATACTGTAACTATGCTATGCAAACCTTAATTACAGTTTTAGGGAGACACTAAATGATCTCACATGATCAGTGGTTGATCAAGGGCAGTACCCTCAAATCCTGTCCAATGTCCAATCCTGTCTTCCCAAGTCTTCCCATGCCTACACAGGAGCGATGAGGGTTAACAAAATAGTTTTGACTCTTGATTGTTGCTATACTTAGAAAAGGTTAAAATTGCTTGCACGTTGTTAAAATGCTGGGGTGGGTAAATTATAGGTTGAAGGTGCGGGGGGGGGGTGCATGCTGGCAGCCTGATGATTTTATGCAGCCTGCAAAAGCACAACAAATATTATTTATTTTTAAAACATTCATTAAAAGATTTTTGCTATTTTTTTGGTTACTTTTTGCACCTATTCAAAACATGAACAAAAAGAACATAATTGGAAACTAGAGATGTTTAATGCCGAACCCCTACTTCTCAGGAAACACCCTAACCCTCCAAATTCAATATATTGTGTACTACCACATGCAGCTAGATCACATACATCCCACTCTATGCTGATGTCAATCCTTAGAACAAAGTAAACATAGAATTTTGACTGATTTGTTTTTTATGTCTTATCAACCTTTTGAAGGTTATTTAAAGGAAAAAAATATTTTTAAATTGTAAGAAATTTTTGGGAGATAAAAATGATTTACTGATAAAAGTTCTACTAATTAAGCCATAGCTGGGAGGAGAAGAGGTGGATTGTGCATAAATGAATATAACAAACCTGACTGGAATTGGAACTCAGCTCTCTGTTTTCCAATTTCCATTACATCATCCACACAGCCAAAC